CAACAACCGAACGCGCTTCACAATCACTTATAAGCCACTGTCACCTCCTAGGCAGCCATTCGCACACGGACTGCGAGGACACCGCCAGTCCACTCCCTATTGCTGGGGCACTGCCCCGAGACGGGACAAACAGCGCGCTGGAGATCAACCAGCGGCAACAGCCCCCGAGAAAGCAACTCCAGGTTTTGAACACAATAAACCCTCTTCCGGGTGGATTCCAAAGTTACGCCCTTCTTATTGTGTTTTTCTTTGGGGATTTCAACAGGGCGTAATTCAACGGTGACACATGTAAGATGTCATCGTTATAACAATGATCTCGGAGTGTATACTACCTCAGTTATTCAACACTTAACATTATTACCGCATCCGCCACTAGTACAACATAAACCATTTTTTTATATAAGATTGCACAACTTCGTTCTATTTTAAAGGACATGGATCAGAAGTTGGCTACTACACAGCAGAAACCACTCGTCTGAAGACGCAGACTTTTCTTGCGACGGCAATAAATGAGTCGAAAGCGAAGTGTCAAGCCATCACCGCACCACTTCAGACGCCATGCGGTGGTTACAGGAGCTGATAATTAAAGTACGTATGCGGTTGACCGCTGCGAACTATCAATGTCGCGCAATGCGTGAATGAGTCACCCTGATCTGCGCATGTCTCACACTATCCTACGGTTATCTATGATTAAGGATTTTCGACAGAAACCGAAACGTCAGGAAAATAAAGTCGTTGTTGCAATGATCGCATCTTCTTCTTCTGAACTGTGTGTGTGTACAATAAAATGTAACAAAGAAAGACCGAGGTGTTAAGCCCGGGGCAGTAGACTTCAGCGTTATCGAAAATCCATATACGGGCCAAAAGTTTGTTGCCCTAAGAAAATCGTAATACGCATATTGTTTTGGTTACCCAAATTTCCGAGGATGCCAACGGCACGAAGGAGAGCTATCAGAGGGTCTTAGGTAGGCATGTTTTCTCCATCCAAGCGCCTGCTGTAAGGGCCGATAATTATTACGATGATTCGCCAAAAAAAAGAAGTTGATAAGCATGCTTGATTTGCCACGCGGGGATTTAGAATACTTCTGAATGCGTTCCATAACTTCTCTAAAGCATTACAAGCGTCGAATTTAATCAGCGTCAACTCTGACAAAAACTAACGTCAGAAATAGTGCCCGTCTTACTAACACTTAGCTACACTCCTAATTAGTAG